AAATCCCTGATTTGTGCTCATTCCAATATACGAACTCACCCAAAGCCAGCGCTGCCTGCTATTGATATTTGCTTAACAGTTATGCAATTRCCGTTATAAAGCACCTAAAACTGGTTTACCATTTACCTCGACCGCTAATCCAGCTCACGCGCTCAATTGCGCTTCATTTACTCACTCATCCAGCTYCAGCTCACATTTCTACTTGCATATCACATTGCAACTAAGCGGGTCTCTGCCCACATTACCTTAACCTTCTCTGCCCAGGCTCTTTCGCTCTTCTAAATATCCCTCTCCCTACATGTCCTTACAATGCATTTTCGTGTAGTAATTTCATGTTGCTCAACTGCATTTGCGTTTTGCATCGCCTGTCATTGTTGCCTCGACTACACGAGTGCCACTTCCACTACCAGTACTAGTACAACAACATTGCTGCTGCTTGTTTTCATTTTCATGTTTTCTTTGAATTTTGTCGCATGTTGTGTTTATTTTCAATTAGGGATTAAAATATTTTCTCTGCTCTCCAACTGGTGGCACACATGTTTGTCTAAAATGAATTGGAATCCTTTTCTGCGACAACCTGATTATGTTATTCATACGAAATTGTATTACCCCTGTTCATGTACGGAGGTAAAAGCAATCATGTTTTAACACAATAAATTATAAAATCTACATTTCGCATTTGAGTGAGTGTGTGTGTACTCGTTTAAAACGTAAATTATTCAGTACTACTAGCATTTTSATGTGAGAGCATAATTTGAGTGAGTCGCTGAGCAAAGGTTTACAATTATTTTTTGRAGTAGGGAAGATGGCATCACATTCATTTTCATTGACAGTGCGTACTTACGGGTGCTTTTAACATTTCTGGCTGCTTTAACTGCTGGAGCTTGCAACTGCTCTTTGATTGTAGAATTTCTAATTCGGAACGCTGTAAGAATGTTAGGTTAAGTTAATTGATGAACCAAAGAGTACGGGTTGATATCGAAGTAGTCTGCTTATTCAATAAAACTCTATACTGTCAAGTTCAAAACCACCAATTTATAAACTGAACGACGGAACACAAACTGGACTGCAACTTCTCCATCGCTGATGTCGAAATTTCGAAAGTACAAACTGAACGAAGGAGCACAGACTGGACCGCAACTTCTTCGTCACTGATGTCGAAATTTCGAAAGTCAACTACCCTAACATTTTAGATGTAAATAAGATAAAACAGCCCTAAAAGTGAATGCCTATTGTCTAGAACTTTCTCGCTTCTTCACTGCAAGGGATCTAAAACTGTACCCTGTCAAATCCATAGCCTCCCTACAAACTGCACTAACAAATACAGATTGAACTTCAACATCTCCGTCGATGATGTTAGATGACGTTAAAACTCCGTTGGTCAACAACCTTAAAGTGTTAGGTGTAACACTCGACAGACTGCACTTCAACACTCCATACACATATGCAATAATAACCAAAATACAGAATCGCAACGAGATTCTCAAGTTGATAGTCGGCAGCACTGGCAGCACTTGGAACAAGGACCAAAGACGGCCGGCCGGTCATAATTGGCGTAGACCAAATATGGTCGCCTGGATGCAGCAGAATGCAAGTAGCGAAGATATACACCTGTGAAAAGACTGAACTCCGAACAATAAATGGAGAGAACATCTACATAACGAGGTCCGCTTGCTTCCTGTAAAGAAGCATATTTCACTGCTCTCTAGGTAGTTTCTCCTACGGCGTTTCGCAGAAATCATTCTTACAGTAATCGACTTGAATCGGAATCCCCAGGAACATCAGTTGAACATTTCTTAAACATGTCGACGAATTAAAATTATATAATAGACTCTGTCATGCAAAACCTACGTTCTACATGCAATGAGTCTACGCGTGACACTAGRTACCTCATGTGAAATGAAACCAACTGACTTAGCACCCTTCTTCCTATGGTACAAACCMGTCGTTACAGCTCTTTTGCTGTAGCTGCAGTTAAGTGATTTCGATGATGGTTARTTTATTGCCTTCCCCCAAGCATGATTTAGATAATCGCTACAACAACAACAGAAAAGAGCTCTTCACAAATGGAAGTAGCAWATATRGTGCCTTAATTAAGCAGGTCGAATTTCAGATCCGATCCGATATGTATGAGACGGAAAGTTCCTAAGAAAAATATCTCAAAACCTTCAAAACGAGAAACCCTTAAGCTACCGATATTCAATCAGAGACCCCTTATGGCTCAAAGGCATAAAGTGTCATAAAGCGTGCAGAATACTTGATAATTGACCTAAACAACAAGATTAAGAGATTTCTCTAGCAAAAAAATTTATTTYACGAGGCTTGTATGAGACCAACCACTTGCAGACTCTCCTTAGCGTACTACTGAGTACAGMAACTGTAAGCCTCTCATTTATAAAGAAAAGCGCATAAAGACCGTACCCGMCAGCTCATTATAATTTTCTACAAATGTCATAAACAATTTTATGATTTTCATGTTACGCTTTGTGATTTTTAATATGTTCAAGTTGCTTTCTCGAATTCCAGACTACTCGGTGCCGTCTTTCAGAGCTTGCCATTTATCTAAACACGGGCACAAAATAGTTAAAATTTCGTGGTAAAATTTGGTAATTATACATGACTTCGCATATACGGTTATATCTTTAGTGTATTACCCGAAAAGTGGCAGCCCTTGGTTTTCGTATGCGAAATTTGTTAGTCAAAAATCATAAATTCAACATTAATTTACTATGTTTTTACAGAATACACATTTATTGTTTTTAACTTGAAAACTTTTATGCAAATATGCACATACGAAACGCATTAGCAGTTCATAAAAATATTTAGCAACACAGTGTGTCATAAGAGTAGGAAACTTATGTGTGGCTAACAAGTGTGGCATGCAAAATAGGTGTATGAGAATGCTGCTGAAGGAATATTTTTAGTTTTATAGCTCAGTTTGTGACACCACAGGAGGTCTTGCATGACCTGGCCGGAAGACTCAAGGCAGCATGCAATTTTTGTTTAATTATTGATATCATGCATTGATTGATTGAAGATTAGTAAATTTACCTTAAACAGGTTATATTAAGTTTTGCAGGAAGTTTGGAACTATGAATATTGAATTTCGGAGACCACAGAAAGTATTTATGTAAAAGATCAGCGTGCTGAGCTGAGTCGATTTAGCATTGTCCCTCTGCCCGTCCTTTCTTCTAGCGTCTGTATGTACGCCAACTAGTCCCTGAGTTTTTGAGATATAGAGAGTTGCCATACAACTGAACCGTGTGAGGGAAGCTACTTTATTTGACGAGCTATCTTCTCGAAATTTGGGATGGATAATTCTCCAAAGCATCCCTATAATCTCCGAAGAAACCGTTAAAATTGGATCATTATAGCGTATGGTTACCATACAAACTGAACTTTYGGATTWATGTCCCTGTATGGGAAACTCCCTCATTTGACGAGGTATCTGCTCTAAATTTGATATGGTTAACTGCCCAAAGCATTGCTACAATCTCCGAAGAAATTATTTATATCGAACGAATATAACATATACCTGCCATACAAAGTGCACGATCCGAATCAAGCTTTTGTATGGAAAACTTTTCCATTTGACGAGATATCTGCACGAAAATTGGCACAGATAATTTTTTCGATCATCGCTACAATCTTCGCAGAAACCATCCAGATCGCATCACTATAGTGTATAGCTGTCACATAAGCCGACCGAACAAAATATGTTTAATGTTTAGAAACGTAAGCGGTATCTACGCCAATGAAGAATAAAACGAAGATTTTAGTTACGATGCAATCGAAGTTAATGTTTTTTTTTAATTTGTTTCTAAGCTCAAATTTTATTAATATCTGTCATATAGCACTCATATATTGCATTGTCACTTGTCATTTGAAGTGTGACTGCTGTCAGTGACGCGCTCTCAGCGCTTATGCCTAAACGGYCGGCTATACGGAACTGTCATTTTGCAACAATTGAATCAATCAAAGTCACTTGGCAACAAATTTGCAATTTTATTTGCGCACACTTTCTTGTTTAGTAAAAAAGTAGTTTCAGCGTGTTTTCCCCAACTTAGTTGGGTTTTTAACGCTATTAGAAAGACCCGTGATTTCTCTTGAACTTTTTTCGCAATATTTATGTATATATATACCGTTTTTTCGCAAACTCTGCCAGYTGCTGAAATTAATATGCGCTTCTTTAGCTCGCTATCGACAGCTTGCGAATTTCTAATATGCGCAACCCCTCTTAAGCGCTGTTGTTGSCTTTCTTCATGCCTTAAATGTCAATGAGCAAATATTTTGCTCATATTGTTGTTGTTTTCTACGAATTCTTATAGCATTCGTGATTTATGGTAACGCGCCATTGAAGGATTTGTCGCGCTACTGTCAATATGAACTGCCAACGAAATTGATGAATATTTTTTGCTCGCAATTAGGCGTGCGTAGAGGGTGATCCGGGTTGCTTGCCCAATTTATGCAGCTTATAACTTTTTTTTGATTTTTTTTKTTTTWAWYMAMYTTTTTTTTTGCGATTTCTTGCTTGTTCGCAAGCACCTCATAATCCACACCCGGCGCGTTAAGATTCAATCGACATTTGAGCGCAAGATATAAATATTATTGGTGCTAGATATATATACACACAAACATATATAATTATACGTTAGATACTCACATATGTATATAAATATAGCTATATAAGCCGGCCTTTCCCTTGCATAGTAATCGCAAATTTAATTTATTTATGAAAAACTCAAAATTCCATTGAAATATTTTTATTCTTTAACTTTTATGTGCATTTTTATGGTGTTGCCACATACTTGTTTTTATTATTATTATTATTTTTTCTTTTTTATTTAACGATTTAATGCTAAAGACCAAATTACCACAGCAATTATACAAGCACTTCCAACTTTATGATCTGCCACTGGCAGTCATAAAAATWCTGCTTCTACTTTATAGCCTAACCTACACCAAAGTACTTATATGTACATATGTATATTGCCCAAATTTTTGCCTCTTTCWTTTATCCATCTCCGCTTTTAACCTRCTTTCGGYAATAGCGCTAAGAGACCCGGCTTCACATTGTTCACATCGTGCACGGTGCCTTCGCCGGTGATGTGATCGTTGATGATCATTTCACGATTCATGCTAGCGTCCACGTGATAAGCGGAGAAATCAATTTCGAAATCGACTTCGGGCAAGGTGGCGAARGTCACATCCTCGGGATACCAGAATCTATGTATGAAATATTCACCCTGAAATTTACGTGAACGTTTAGTGGGTGTATGTAGTGAATAGTGAGCCTGACAAATATAGTTCGCGAAGAAAAAGAAAGAAAGCAAAAGCGCAAGTCAACTACTGCTCTCCTAGTTAACAATTTTATCTGAAATAATGCTTAATATAGAATATTTATTTAAAAACAGGCTTTTGGATATTTTTGTTTAGACAAATACAAAGAAAGCGACTTAAAAAGTCATCCTGGCTTACGTTAGATTAGTTTTAAAGGACAATGCAAGAATAATATCACTTCGAYAGCTTAGAATGYCGGTCTGTTRTGGTACCTATTAWYTCATAAAAACTATATCGTAAKACCCTTACAAAGCGGCAAAGAGCTTTGAGCATGTCGCAGTCGTCTCAATRAGACTAATATCAGTTCACACCATATATTTTGGTCCACCATAGGTAATATTCTCGAGATGTCTCAGCCTCAGTTTTGCAAGGCCTGGACAATGGAGGAGATGTTTCCAYCTCACCCTTCTCCCTACAACTTTGACAACTAGCGTCAGTCTTCCGTAAGAACTCTTACAATTGCGGCAAGAAGAACTTTGCGGAAAAAAACTAGTTCAGTAGATATTTTGCGTTCGATTGTAGGATAAAATGACCTCGCAAACGTATAGGAACTGGTCCTCGAAAAGCACCAGCTAAGCGCAYGGGAGGTCCAGGTCTGTGTATATAGTATAGTGCTGAAACCCAAGACGCACAATCCAAGCTTTGAATGTAAAGTTACCAAAGATATTAATAAACTAGCTCAAGTAACTCTAGACCCTAACGTCATCCTGTTGATACTTTAKCCACCATTAAATCAAAGTACTACTCAAAAACGAGACCGTTTGGAGATCTTATTAGATTATGAAGCGCAGCAGCGRAAATTTCCATGAAGGACTTACGTCCAAAAAAGTTTATCCCGGAATCAAAAAACTTCCATGAAGAACTTGCCTACGTCCAAAMAATGTATCCAGTAATCAAGAAAATCCTCAAATTTGGCGCAATATAAAAATCTTTCTTATTTATGAAGCATGGAAATGTTAAAGGACTGGATTTAAGTAATCTCATATTTTATTTACAAGTTCGGAATTCTCGATTATCGACCTACAACTGTCGAGTTCATGTATACATCACAAAATCGTTATAGGCTTATCCCGAGGCTTGTTGTTCTCTTGATCCGATCCTAAGCAGATTAAATGTGTATATACCAAATTTTTATGAGCTCAAAGATTGTAGAAAGAGTATTAAGTCCAGCAGTGACTAATCACTCATCCTAGCTAAATGGCGGATTAAGGCTTGGAAAGTAAGGAAAAGTGTTGTTCAGTTCTGTATCATAAGAGATGGTGCAACCTTTTAGAGACTCCCAATGTTTCAAAGAGAAGTAATAAGGCTAAAAGCCAAATCAGCGCTTACTATTATTGGACAACACATTCCTCAAGCCCCCTATATAACTAGATTTTCTTTCGATTAACCTCCTCAAAAAGACCTACTAAATAAAATTTTTAATCTTACCTTCACTATCGGACATTTTTCAATCAAGTTTCCATATTCCTTCATATATGTATGTAGAAGTGCACCGACCGGAGAGGCATTACGCCAACTGATCATACGACAGAAATTCATTGTAGAGTTTGTGGTAAAGAAATATGTGGGGTCCTTTTTCTGAACAATACGAATGTGGGTGTGAATGTCAACATCGTGAAGTTCCTACGGAGAGAAAAATTAAAGCGAAAATTACATTGTAATAGAGAAAGGAAATTGARATAGATGTAGAGTTACAGGTAGATATTGCGAGTTAGAAATAGAGGTAGAGATATAGTTGGGGATAAAGTTAGAGTTAGAGCTAAAATTAAAGTTAGAGTTACAATTATAGTTAGAGTTAGAGTTACAGTTACAGTTGGATTCAGAATTAGAGCTAGAGTTACAGTTGGAGACAAAAATAAGGATACGGTACAAATAGAAACTGTTAAAGTTCGAGATTTAAGAYAGAAATTTGATTGTATGTAAAGTATATATAAATTTATAAAAATTATRACTAAAATACCTTCAACACATTAAGCGTAAAGTTGAGATGTGGATCCTTTGAGTCGAAGGCCAGTTTATGCGTCACATACTTCTCATCACTCCAAACTTTGACGTCCTTAAAACTGGGACGCATAACTTTCTGTGAAAAGAAAAAATTACGAAAATATTTTCAGAATTATCTCTTTTTTTATTTGAAAAACGCTTACYTCCGCTGCCGCCAAACCACAATACAGCACAAAGACGAAATTCAACCAAAATATTTTCATTGTAAGCGCCATTTTGGTAAACTCTAAGAGCTAAAGATTAAACGTGTTCAACTCGTTTGACGGCAAAAAGCCATCACGCCCACATTTTATAGCTTGATCTATGGGCTCAAAATTAAAATGTCATTTAATATAGTTGGAAAATTTTAAAATTTTAAATTGCAAAAATCTAACATTATCACTGGGCTGACATCGCCAKCATTGACGCGTAACGCCCAAATCGAAGCAATTTTTGATTATTTTTTTATTTTTTAGCTCAAACACACATACACAGGTGCCGCCCCGTCGCGTTTATTTTCCAATCAAATGGCGTTTTGAAGGATTTTTGATTGTTTTTTAGATTTACTGCTCCAGTGAAGCTTGAAAATTGCAATGATGAAGTGTTTTTTTCGACATTTTGCGAACGCCGCGTGGCATGCATCATGTACTCGTAAATTTGAAACTGTACTATATAATAAAGAACATATGTACATAAATATTTTTATTCTACATAACAATTAAAATTGTCAAACAAATAATAATTTAAAACCAATTATAA